ATATTAAGATTAAGATCAATATTAATATTAATATTAAGATCAATATTAATATTAATATTAAGATCAATATTAATATTAATATTAAGATCAATATTAATATTAATATTAATATTAATATTAATATTAATATTAAGATCAATATCAATATTAATATCAATATCAATATTACGATTAAGATCAATATTAATATTAATATTAAAATCAATATTACGATTAAGATCAATATTAATATTAATATTAAGATTAATATTAATATTAAGATCAATATTGATATTAAGATCAATATTGATATTGATATTAATATTAATGATGCTGCAACGGTGAAAGAAAGCATGCAAGCCAAACAGAAGCCCCCGATTCCGAAGCCTTGGCCGGGGCCAGGATCCACGAAGAAAACCCAGCCTAACCCCTCCAGACGGAAAGCAGACCTCGCAGCAACCAAGTCCAAAGGCGCGGAAAGGGGGGACCTCGGGGATGATGGAGGGAGCGGGAGGATGGGGGAGAGACGACGGAAGAAAGGAGCGCGCACCGTTCGCTCGCTCGCTCGCTCACTCACTCGCTCACCTGAGTCGGAGGGAACCAGAGCGAAGACCGCGCAGAGCAGCAAGGCTGGAGCGCCAGGCGTGGGAAAGGACCGCCGCGCCATCGGGACTCTCCGAAGGGAGTTCGCGAAAGGGAGAAGAGGGTTGCGTGGGCGCGCGTGGATGTGTGCGGGCGCCTGCAGCGGCTTTAACTAAGAAGTTGGCCGGCTCTTCCTTTTTTATAGCATTCCTCTCCTCCCCCCCCCCCGGTCCCTTTCCCCCTCCCTCCTCCGGAAACTCTCGGGACAGACAGCGGGTGGCTTAGAGGCTCATTGAATCACTCAGGCGCTGGCTGTGATTCAGCTCTCACGCCCGCCAGCCGTGAGACGAACCGCTCCTTCCCCGCGGCTTCTCCCTCGCCAAGGATCTCGGCCAGGTGAGCAGCAGCGGCGGGGAAAGGGAGGAGCGGCCTCGCCTTTGGCCCCAGGTACCTTCAGGGTGGGAAAAAAGGCCGGGGAATCGAAGCTTAGGCTCGAATGGGGTGAAGCCAGCTTTCCCCCTTCGCTCCGCCCCGCGATGCTCGGGAACGAAAGGGCAGCGACGGGCCAGCCACGGGTCGCCCTCGCCGTCTGTAGCGGAGGAGGAGGAGGAGGAGAGCTGGGAGCCAGGAATGAGGACAGCGGTGCTTTTTCTAACGAAGCTTAGAGGAACGACCCTTGTTGGAATCAAGAGGATGGAAACGAACCATTGAAGCCCCGTTGATCTCGGTAGATCAGAACGGATCTACCGATCGCAGAATTGGAAATAAATTTAAATTTATCTTTCCCCCCCCCCCTCTCCCTGCCAGTGCAACTTAAAAACCAAACGTACAAATCAAATGTGTGCCTTCCATGTATCTTGTTGAAAAATGAAGGGATAACATCTTTGAATGTATGATGTACAAGGAGAATAATGAACATAAGCATACTCGATAGATGATTGGTGGGATTATACATAATTGAAAGCAGTGATATACAAATATAAATGGCTGGTAAATCTTTTTCATATCAGGATATGTGATTATATAAAGGTATAACATCTTTGTTTGAATGTATGATGTACAAGGACAATAATGAACATAAGCATACTCGATAGTTGATTGGTGGGATTATACATAATTGAAAACAGTGATATACAAATATAAATGGCTGGTAAATCTTTTTCATATCAGGATATGTGATTATATAAAGGTATAACATCTTTGTTTGAATGCATGATGTACAAGGACAATAATGAACATAAGCATACTCGATAGATGATTGGTGGGATTATACATAATTGAAAACAGTGATATACAAATATAAATGGTTGGTAAATCTTTTTTATATCAGGATATGTGATTATATAAAGGTATAACATCTTTGTTTGAATGCATGATGTACAAGGACAATAATGAACATAAGCATACTCGATAGATGATTGGTGGGATTATACATAATTGAAAACAGTGATATACAAATATAAATGGTTGGTAAAAAGTTTTTCATATCGGGATCTGTGATTATATAAAGGTATAACATCTTTGTTTGAATGCATGATGTACAAGGACAATAATGAACATAAGCATACTCGATAGATGATTGGTGGGATTATACATAATTGAAAACAGTGATATACAAATATAAATGGTT